ACGTCGCGTACGACCTCACCCGTAATATCGATTGGACAACGTTCAAGACCGCGATAGAGGAAGCCGTGTCGTCGGTAGAAGGGCTTCCACCGTTGGAGGAATATAACTTCCTCTCCAATCTGATCTTGGACAGCGCGCTTCGAGCTCAAACTCGGCCGGTTCCTGGAACGTCTTTGCGTAGGAAACCTCCTTCCCCTTGGTGGGACCACCAATGCACTGAGGTTTATCGTAAAAAGTCCGACGCGTTTAAGCTTTTCCGGAAACGTGGAACACCCGTGTATTTCGAAGCGTACTCGGCTCTTGAACGCGAACTCAAGAGCCTCATCAAAGCCAAGAAACGCGGATACTGGCGGCAATTCGTGGACGGATTGTCGCGCGAAACGTCGATGAATACGCTTTGGAACGCGGCGCGAAGGATGCGTAACCGGTCTTCGAACAACGAGAGCGAGGAGTACTCAGATCGTTGGATTCTCAAGTTCGCGCGAAAAGTATGTCCTGATTCCGTGCCGGCACAGATGATTCCTCGCGAAACGACGAATTCTGTAGACGAGATCAGCCAGCCTTTTTCAATGCTGGAACTCTCACTCGCGCTCCTTTCGTGTGGCAATTCGGCTCCGGGGGCTGATAGAATCAAGTTCAACTTGTTGAAGAACCTCCCAGACGTCGCTAAGAGGCGCATGTTGAACTTGTTTTGTCAGTTCCTGGAGCTCAATATTGTTCCGGATGATTGGAGGCAAGTGAGAGTTATAGCCATTAAAAAGCCTGGAAAACCCGCTTCAGATCATAACTCGTATCGTCCAATCGCGATGTTATCGTGCATTCGAAAATTGTTGGAGAAAATGATCCTTTTTTGCTTGGACAAATGGGTTGAGACGAACCACCTACTCTCAGATACTCAATTTGGATTCCGTAGGGGCAAGGGAACGAACGACTGTCTCGCGTTGCTTTCCACAGAAATTCAGTTGGCTTTTGCTAAAAAAGAGCAAATGGCTTCTGTATTCTTGGATATCAAGGGGCTTTTGATTCAGTATCCGTTGAAGTCCTTTCAGACAAACTCCACGCTTGTGGCCTTTCTCCATTAATAAATAACTTTTTGTACAATTTGCTGTCAGAGAAACATATGAGCTTTTCTCATGGAAACTCTACAGCTTCTCGATTTAGTTACATGGGTCTCCCCCAGGGCTCATGTTTAAGCCCCCTTTTGTATAATTTCTACGTCAGAGAAATTGACAATTGTCTAAGTGACAACTGCACGTTGAGACAACTTGCAGATGACGGCGTAGTGTCTATGACAGGGCCCAAAGGGGTCGACCTGCAAGGACCCTTACAGGATACCTTAGACAATTTGTCTACTTGGGCTATTCAGCTAGGTATCGAATTCTCCACGGAGAAAACTGAGTTGGTCGTTTTTTCTAGGAAGCATAGCCCAGCACAACCAAAGCTTCAACTTTTGGGTAAACCGATCACTCATTCTATGTCCTTCAAATATCTTGGGGTCTGGTTCGATTCAAAATGCACCTGGAGATCCCACATTGAGTATCTGAGACGAAAATGCCAACAAAGGATCAATTTTCTCCGAACAATTACCGGAACGTGGTGGGGAGCCCATCCGCAAGATCTTCTAACGTTGTACCGGACAACGATTTTATCGGTTTTAGAATACGGTAGTTTTTGTTTCCAGTCGGCGGCTAAAACTCACATCATCAAACTGGAACGTATCCAGTATCGTTGTCTTCGTATCGCGTTAGGATGCATGCACTCGACTCATACGATGAGTCTAGAAGTGTTGGCGGGCATGTTGCCACTATCGGATCGGTTCTCGGAATTGTCCCTCAGGCTCCTCACCCGTTGCGAAGTTATGAACCCACTGGTAATCGAAAACTTTGAAAAGCTTCTTGAGCTGAACCCTCAAACTCGTTTTATGTCATTGTACTACGTGTACATAACACAGGATGTCAGCCATTCACAGCATAATCCTCATCGTGTATGCTTCTCCGACTTCGGCAATTCAGTTAGTTTTGATTTATCTATGACGCGGGAGATTCGTGGGATCCCAGAACATCATCGTTCAATGATTGTTCCGTCAATTTACGCTGCAAAGTTTGGCCAAGTTGATTCCGCAAGATCGTTCTTCACAGATGGATCACTAATAGAGTCGTCCGCTGGTTTTGGTATTTTTAACGAATTTCATAGCGCCTCTCGAATGCTTCAAGCTCCTTGTTCCGTATATGTTGCTGAGCTGGCGGCAATACATTATACGCTAGAAACGATCGCCTCACTTGCACCAGATCATTATTTTATTTTTACGGATAGTCTCAGTTCTGTCGAGGCTATTCGCTCTATGAGGCCGGTAAAGCACTCCTCGTATTTTCTCATGAAAATACGAGAGCTTTTAAGTGCTTTATCTTTAAGATCTTTTGTCATCACCTTTGCATGGGTCCCATCTCATTGCTCGATTCCGGGCAATGAGATGGCTGACTCACTTGCTAAGGTGGGCGCTATGGAAGGAGATATTTACGATCGACAAATCGCCTACGATGAATTTTTCTTCATTTATCGTCAACAGTCACTCGTCAGCTGGCAGAATAAGTGGAGTGAAGGGAGTTTGGGACGATGGCTATATTCGATCATCCCTAAGGTGTCGAAGAGTTCTTGGTTCAAGGGGTTGGATGTGGGTCGAGACTTCATTCGTATGATGTCTCGCCTCATGTCCAATCACTATTCGTTAAACGCTCACTTGTTCCGTGTTGGGCTGAAGGACAGCAATCTCTGTGAATGTGGACAAGGTTACCAGGACGCAGATCACATTATTTGGTCTTGTGCTGAGCATCGCGGAGTCAGATCTGAACTGTACGATTCCCTTCGGGCTCGAGGTAGACAACCTAATGTTCCAGTTCGGGATATTTTGGCTAGACGCGATCTGGAGTTTATGAAACTCATATATGTTTACTTTAAGAATATTAACATTAGATTGTAAGTTTTATTAACCTTGTGTTTAGTTTGTATTTTGTACGTGTGGGTTTTTTTTATGTTTGTTTTCAAGATGAATAGAAATTAGTTCATGTTTTAGGATTAATTAAACATTTGTATCGTAAACCACATTTCAAACCTCCCTCTCCCTTTTCCCATCCAAAAAAATTGTAAATCCCCACTAACCTCGAGACAACCGCGAGTATCCGGTCCAGCTCCTTTAACTTTAAATATAAGAAATCAATAATGTATAACAAAAATGATAACTCGGCTCTGTAAAGTTTATTCGATTGAGCCTGTAAAAATAAAGTAATTATTAAAAAAAAACAAATCTATCTCTCTTGTATTGGCAATTTTTTGCAATGTAATGATTTGAAATGATTTTATCCGTTTCCCATACTAACTATACAAATTCTCCCACAAATCCATATTCGAGAAACTTTTGGCACATTTGATGGGGACCTCATTGCAAATCGAAAGAGCAGTGGGTACCAGGAGGTTGTAATCCGCCATACAAACTTGATCCACCCTTATGCGCAGTTGCTTGTCGTTGAATTTTTATTTGGCAGAAGAAAAAAAACCTTCATGTACTTAAAGGGCCGTCCAATCGACAGTGTCCAAATTTCACATAGACAGTATTTGAGCCAATCGCTTCCATCTATTCGTATTTTGCTAGAACTTCAAGCGGCTCTTAACCCCACATAACTATCACTTGTCCTTCGTGCAAAAACATACCAAGCACATCAACCTCAGCACCGAAAAAGGATGGAGTCCAGGTAATAGCCTAGAACTTGCAACGACTTTGATGATAATGACGACGCCGTCGATAGTATGTGCTTCAAACAACACTTTCTTCCCCTCACCACGCCTCCATCCCACTCTTCTTTCCGCGTACAAATCCACAGCGCACCCGATTTTGTGGTGATTGCGTTAATATGCAAACGAGCTGGCTGCTAGTTGGCCAAACAAAATTAGCAAAACGTCCCTCAATCGATGTTGCATATATAGAGGGGGGGGGGGGGCGGTCGATGTCTCATTCCAAAAACTTCCCCGCACTCTCTACTACCGTTTGATTTTAGTGCAAAGTCGTGAAGAAAAAATAAAATAAAGCACAATGTGTGCGGTACCAATTGCGTTTCAATTCAAAATAAGAACTTTTGGAATACGAAACAATCCGGCACGGGAGTTAAGTTTTGGGCTGCCTCCACTCTACTGGCCCAGAGTCAAACTCGTTGTTTATGCGCTAAGTGTCTGTGTGTGTGTTCGTGTATGTTGGATGTTATGAGTCAGGGTGAAGGACCGCTGGCCCGTCCCACGCAAATGGCAGTTGGCCAATTTCTGGTGCCCAAACCACGCGTGTGTTTTGCTGCTTTAGATTCAAAGGGTTAGATAACTATTTGTTTTCCATTTCTCAAACAGAACAAAAAAATATATGTTGTTCTACAGGGGGTCATTAACCGCTCCGGGGGTCGTACTTTTTGCTATATCTCCGTAAAACAACCCGAAGATGATTAGTTATTGTGGCATGTATGTTTTACATTTGAATAAATTATCCTTTCCGGCAGTCAGTGGAATATGTTCATTAATTCTAGTTTTAGTCTCTCCTTGTATGTCAAATAACCCTTATTTTGCCACGACGGCACGCACAGGAATCCTTTGCATATTTTTTGGCGAAATACAAGTAACAACAACCCGGTTTAGGTTTCCCTTCTTCGCTGATTTTCGCTGCAGGTGTGTACATTTTGTCACTTGAGTAAAGCTGAATGACCCCTCTCTTTAGCAGGAGTTACAACGGCGAAACACACTTAACCACGGCACCACGGACGATGGTAACGATGGAGAATGCGGCTACAAATGATCACTTATATAGTTATCAATAATCTTTATCGGCACCTATAGATCGGGCTCCCTAATTGGCAGCGCACCATGATAGGGGGACTGCCTCCGTATATACTTATGAGGTCGCTCTCCGCCAGAAGCGTGGTGTAATTTGAAATATTAAAATGACACGTTCCGCAGTGTGTACTTACTGAAATCTATTAGCAGTCGGCCGTAACCCTTGCGCTGATAGGGGGGTAGCGTCAGTATGCAGGATACGTTGTAATTCAGGAAGGAGTTTTTCTCCTGCGGGAAAGAAGAGAAGAAGGTTCATAATTAGTAAGTGATTGGCATTAGATAAGAAGAGGTGTAACGAAGCCAATTTAATTGCAGCTATAATGAAGGAATGATACAAGTTATAACGTCGATGATTTTTTTATTATTTCATGTGTAATATATTGAAAATGGTTGCAAAGATTTGTAATAAGCTCAATTCTGTTTTTGCACGATATTAATTTTTACGATTTAATTGTCTTTTTTTTTCTCTGTTCGGGACATAACACCACTGCGACCAGTAATTTGATCTATTGTAGTATATCCCGTGTCCTTAGTTTAGTGCATGTCGTATTACTCCATCACTATTGAGATATGATGAAGTATTCGATTTTTTTACAGTTGTCACTCTTGCATTTATCGCAAGGATCCGACTCTAATTGAAAGGTCCCGCTATTTATACCATTCGGAGTGTTGAAACACCCTCCAAAGGCGCGCCCTTTTGTCAGTCAAAATAGGATTCCTTAGCTACAAAATTAAGGAATGACACCGATAATGACCATGCATCAGAACCCTAGTCTTAACCACTTCAAACTAGGGAACAACGAATAGAAGATTAGGAATCACATAGATGAAGACTAACTAACTCATTTTTTCCTTGTTTCAAGATCATCCTCGGTCCAGGCAACCCGAGGACTTATCACTATCAACAAGGCATAAAAAATAACAAGGACTAAGATGTGTTCCTTTGATTACAAAAAATCCTGTTCCCCAAGTTTGAAGTAGTAGTCGGTGGTAGATCTTACATCCCGTAACGTACCACGAAAAGGTGATCTACCTACGTTACGGGGCAATAATTATCATTTAGGATGATTCAGAAATTTATATAGGGGAAAAGGATGTAATGTCGGCCCAAATGCACCTAATTTGGGCCCATACATAAATTCAACAATCGACTAAATTTTCAATAGCGACCAAAAATATCCATTAGTACCGTCCCTATGACTCGTTCATCTAGATAAAATTGATAAATAGCAGTTTTTTAGCGATGGACCCAATCTTTGATCCATAGGCCAACATTAGAGCCATTCCCCACTTTTTTTAAACAATTTACAATTTGACAGTCTGTCATAATTTGAGATCACACTATCAAAAATACGAACGAAAAAAATCGCGTGAAAACAGAACTGATTATATATTTTCTAGACATTTGGTTGTGTTTCAGTCAAAGAATTCTTCGTGACGTTTAGACCATATTTGTCGTTGTCAAGATCAGTCATTTTCAAACCCTATTCTACACACTGCCACGAGCCTCAATTTACACATAAATTTGAGTTACACCAGATGCGAATTTTAGCTCAATCAAACATAATTTTCGTCGAGTAACGAACTTTTCAGTCTCAGAGCACTTAATTTTACATGACATGTTTGTTTACGTCTCATCGTTAATGACAAAGATGGATTCTGTAACGTGAAGAATGTAGTTATTATTCTGTTGTTTCTAAAGCCATCTTTGGCGTTTTATTATAATTCTTTTTGATTAATCTAGGAAGGTGTTTCTTTGGCAACTTTCGGTGGTTTATGGTCCGTTTTGTGGATTTAGGCTATTTTGACGTTGAATGCCTTTTCTGGCGTGTTGAGGCTATTTTGATGATAATAGGGATTTTGTTTTTGTGTTCCTGGATTTTCAGACATTTTAAAGTTTTGTGGTGTTTCCAAATTATTTGAAGAATTTCAAGTCATTTTGACATTTTCGGGCAATTGTTGCTATTGACGATGATCTGAATTTTAATTTTCATGGTATTTTACCATGTTATAGCCAAGCGTTTTTGTATAAGGTCAGTATCCACAATAATCCAGACAAATCAAAAGTTAAGTAAAACCGAAGACAACAAATCAAGAAGACTGGCAACTCTTCCATTTTCTCATACGAACGCTATGAGACAGGTACAATCGCGTCATCTGCCGCTCAAAGGTAAATGCTTCGAACGAATTTGATAGCAAAGATTACATCCTCAGAAGAAGGGTTTGTTTTTTTTTTCCTTGGATTTGTTTTCCGTCGATCTTGTTTTCCGTGCTGAGCACCAATGCTACCAACGCCAGAGAGGCAGCCCCACACCTGGACCCTACCTATCGACCCATCAAACTCATTAACCAACGGCTTTACTTCCCATCCGAAGGAAGGCGTGATCAGAGATGTTATGCCTCAGAACATCCCGGCGGCGCCGACTGGCATTGAACCCAGGCCTGCTGGGGTGAGAGTTAATCACGCTTACCACTACACCACCGGCGCCGCTAAGAAGGGTTTGTGTATTTGCTCATTTTTCTATGCGTTGCTTCCACCTTCACTCAAGCACAGCGCCATTGTATCTGTCGCTTGGATTATGGCAAAGTTGCCAGTCTTCTTGATTTGTTGTCTTCGGTAAAACAAAAATTTCGCATTATATTTCAACTCTAGTTGTTTATTTTAGATTCATATGATATGATTAAAAAATTCACGAAGTTAAAGCATAGTTATTTGGTATTTGCATAAACACTTCGAACTTTACGCTTAACTCCATCCATTAGGGTTTGTGCAGACTCCTCAGATACCGTGGTGGCCGTCTTTGTCAATATTTGTTGGAGATGTTTGATATCTTTGATTCCTTGTTTCTTTCCAGAAAGCTTCCGCTTTATCAAAGCCCAATATCTCTCGATTGGACGTAACTCTGGACAATTTGGTGGATTTGTGCTTTTTGGAAACAAATTCACTTGATTTGCTTCGTACCACTCCATCACGGTTTTAGCATATAATGGCATGATACCAAATCGGGCCAGAACAAAGGGTTTTCTTTGTGACTTTTGATTCTGCATAGCATTCGTTTCTGCAGGCACTCTTTCTGGTAAATCTCATTGTTGATTGTGCCTGTAGGGACGAAAGATTTACTCTTTCAGCCACACGTGCAAATTGCTTGCCAAATAAGGTATTTTTTGGGAAATTTCTATGCCTTTTTCGTCCTGAAATACTCAGCTGTAGCAGTTTTGCCCATAGCAGAATAGAAAGCCAGCCCTGGAAGCTGCTTGAAATCTTCCAGGACATAAGTTTCATCGTCCATAACAACGCATGAAAACTTCGTCAAATTTTCGCAGTACAAACTTCGAGCCCGTGATTTTGCTGTCAAATTCTGTTAGTCGTTGCGATTTGGAACTGTTTTTACTTTATACGACTTCAGCCCCAAACGCTCTTTTGATTTTTGGACAAAACCAGGTGACATTCCTGTTTTACGAACCGTTCGAACAGAGAGATTCGGGTTTTCCTTCAATGTCCTCTTCACCTTTCGGTTCATGACAGGATCAGCACGTCCAATGTTTTTATCACTTCTCGGTTTCCTCTCGACCGTCAAACGTTCCGAAAGTGATTTGAGCACACCGTGAACAGTGGATTTAGGTAAATCCAATTTTTTTGCAAGTTCCCGTATTGACAAGTCAGGATTTGCATTACGTCCGTACAAAATGCACTCGCGCACGTGTTTTTCATTCGTCGCCATCTTGAACACTAAATATGGAATGTAAACACTAATCATAGTCTTTTTCATCAATGACTCCCAGCTATACCTCAGCGAAATTTTTCACCCTATATTTCAAAAGTTACAGTGATTTGAAGGTGCCCGGATTAATGTGGAAACAGACCTTATACAAGCATTTTTAGAGCTCATTTCATGTTGTCAGACAATTTTATAGTGTGTTTTTTGATTGCTGCATGGACGATTTTAAGCTATATTGACGCTCTAAGTAGCAGCTTAAAAACAGTATTTATTTATTTTTGGAGGGAAAAGCCCACACTAGTGGGTGCAAAACCTCATCATTTCAGTACCAACAGATAACATGGAATCCTACAGATACATTTGCTTGAACTAAGTCCTAAACATATAAAAAGATATTAATGATATCATAATTAACTTAATTTAAGTACAGAAAACAGAAAGCGTCAGGAAGTTAAAAGTACATTATAAAACATATTCGTAAGCCTAACACGGGAGATATTAAAATCAAAACAGTATAGCATTTGTTGAAAATCTTGCACATGCTAGTTAACGGCTCATTAGCGCCATAGTTTGTGCGAGAAGCCGGGATGTTGAAAAAATAATAAGAACGTAAATTTACGCGTCTGAAATTGACATTCAACTGCAGCAGAAGTGAACCGCAATTAATGTCCGATCGTAGGAGATCAGCGATGAAGGTAGTAATTGTAGGGACATCAAATTACAGCGACTTTCATAACTAGGGAGATTGAAAAGATCACTCCAGGGTAGCCAACGAAGGGCGAAACGTACAAATCTTCGCTGAATGGCCTCAATACGATTCACCCCGTTGCTGTAAAAAAGGTCCCCACACAGCAAAAAATTAATTTTGATATCACATCAAAGTGGATGCACTTCAATCGTGTCAAAAATATGGTGTAATATTACTTGCCAAAAATTGTCATTAATACAGTGCATGAACTGATATTACACTGCTTTTACTGTATATGTTTATTTTTGTGGTCATAAAAATTACCGTAGATTTTCGACATGATTGTAGTGCATCGTCTTGGATGTAATATTAAAATTTATTTTTTTTCTGTGCATTCTACGGAACAGTACTATAATGAGGAGCGGACTAGCGAACAATAGAGTGTTTTTAAACAGAAAATGTCCCTAAAGTCTAATGAGAGAGAGAAGGATCCTTCTCTCTCTCATTATACAGGTATTCCACTAAGACGCCCACATTCATCAGGATTCCCTAAAGTCTTTGGCGAAACGAAAAATGAAACCAAGTTGAGAAGATACCTTAGCGGAAACATAAGCCACATGGTCCTTAAAGGTGAGCTGTGAATCAAGTAGGACGCCTATGTCTTGTGGTAGATTCACGGCTTAATATTTGCTCCTGCAAGCTGTAAGTATAACAGACAGTATAACAGATGATTTTTTCCTGGAAAACGTTATAATGGCACATTTAGAAGCATTTAATACCATCCTGTTCTTGTCACACCAAACAGTAAAAACTTCCAGCTG